CTACATTCCAAGAGGCTCAATTCTTGTTGCATAAGCAGACGAGATTAGAGAAACAAAATAGTGCTTTGTTACACTTCCATGGACAAATGTCCTCTGACTTATTAGTATCCAAAAAATGGACTATCTGAAGGTTCTAGTGTGCTGCCTCAAAATGACGCTGGTGTAATGATGAATCAGTCCACCAATATGCTAAGTCCTGTTGGGAACAATTTATCACAATCTAGTTCAGTGTCTCAATAAGCACAACAAGCTCAACCTAATAACTTTGGCCACACAGGATACTCATAGTTTGTTGATGGAACTTTAGTTGGAAATTTCAAAGCTGATTATAATAGAGTGCCCTACAATCCATCATTTGCCTCACCACAACTGTTTGTTAGTGGATTTAATCCATTTGCTAAAGGTCGAGGCAGGGTAGAGGTTTTGGTAAACTGAGATTAATGTGCCAAGTGTGCGGGAAACCTAGTCACTCAGCACTTCAATGCTATCACAGGTTTGACCATAACTACCAAGGTTTTTCAAGACTTGCTGTTACAAATTCAGGATATTTTCCATATACAGGATATGTCCCTATTCATCCTGGTCCTTCACAAGCTCCTAATGACTCAGCTCAAGCCTTACTTGTTGGCACCTCTATGCCTGTTGGACCTTTCAATCCTAATATCACTGCTTTTTATGACTATTCATCTTATAATGGATAGCATGGAAATCAGTTTACACGTGGCACTGCATGCAATACACAAGTTGTCTCACAATATCAACAACACACCTTTGGACCTTCGTTCAGTACTGTCCAGACTAACACTACTCCTAATCTGGATGTTATCGTTCCTTTAGGGCCTACTAATCCACAAATGGCAACTCCTCAGACAGTAAAAGACCAGTCCTGGTATATGGACTCTTGGGCCTTAAATCACATGGTTGTTGACTCCTCTAACATGTTGACCAAGACCAATTACTCTGGAGGATCTAAGGTACAAGTTGGAAATAGGGAAGCCTTACCTATTACTCACGTAGGTATGATGCTTCTTCCATCTTTTAATTCAAATAAAATAGTTCACCTACAAAATATATTATGTGTACCTAATATAGCCAAAAACCTGCTAAGCATTTCTCAAATCACAAAAGACAATAATGTGATTGTGGAATTCTATTCTGATCATTGTTTGGTAAAGGATAGATACAGCAAAAGTGTTCTCCCTTAAGGGAGGGTTAAAAATGGCCTTTATCAATTGGATCTGCCTTTTAATGCTGCACCTGTTACTGCTAGTTTTGTTTCACTACCACCACTCTCTGCTGATACAACAATAATCCTACAATGTTCACCTTCTATAATTCAAGGAAAGTTGAATAATCACTCAGCTGAGTTTTTTGGCTTTGCGGCTGACCCTTTCTGTCTTGCTGTTGTTGATATTACTAATAAGGCATCTACCAATGTGAATAAAGCATCTACTTGTACTAATTTTGATGTACTGTTGGGTTCATCTCTACTTTGGCATGCTAGGCTTGGTCATCCTAGCTCCATGTCTTTACAATCTGTCTTGAATAAACTGAATATAAAGCACTCTATTGACAACAATACAAGTTCCTTTTGTGAAGCATGTATGTTTGGCAAGTTGAAGCAATGTAGTTTTCCCTCTTCTACTTCACGTGCACATGCTCCCTTGGAATTGATTCACTCTGATCTATGGGGTCCAACCCTTGTTTTATCACAAGAAGGTTACCGTTACTATATCATCTTTCTTAATGACTATAGTTGGTTTACTTGGATTTATCCACTTAAACTTAAATCTGAAGCCTATGAGGTGTCCACTCATTTTCATGTTTTTGTGAAGAAGCAGTTGGGAACTAAGATTAAGTGTCTTTAAACTGACTGGGGAGGGGAATTTAGGTCATTCCCTAAGTATCTCCAACAGCATGGCATCATGTTTCGGCATCCTTGTCCTTATCTTCATCAGCAAAATGGTAGGATTGAGAGAAGGCATAGATCAATTACTGAATTTGGACTCTTCTTATTAGCTCATGCCTTTATGCCATTAAGTTTTTGGTGGTTGGCTTTGTCCATAGGGGTCCACATTCTCAATAGATTACCATCATCAGTTCTTGATTTTAATTCTCCTTTGCAGGTACTCTTTCATCAAGAACCTTCCTATCATGAGCTTAAAGTATTTGGATGTAGATAGTTTCCCTATTTGTGGCCTTATCAAAAACACAAGCTGGGCTTTCATATTGAAAAATGCATTTTTTGTAGGCTATAGCCTAGTTCATAAGAGGTATAAATGCATGACAAAGTCTGGCCGAATGTATGTGGTTAAGTAGGTGAAATTCAATGAACAAGACTTCCCTTTCAAATTAGGTTTCTTTAAGTCTGATTGCTCTGAGAATGATTCATCCTCTACCGAATGTCCTTTAGCTTCTTCATCCTGGACTATTCCTCACTAGCCATGCAACCAACTTGTTTCTCACATCAGTACCGCCACTTGCTCTTCTAACTCAACTTTTAAACAAACCCTATCCATCCCTCACTGCCTAGTATCTACACCCTCACACTCCTCAGTAACTAAATCACATACTTCAGACTTAAATACATCTGTAGGTAATACTCACACTGCAACAGCTTTGTCCATTGATTCAGGTTCTCAACCATATGTACCAACAATTCAGAATAATGATGTTCATGAATCCTCACAATCTCTAGTCTCCATATCTCCTTCTCCAGCTATGCAAAATTCTTCTGATATTCACTTGGAAGTGGTTCTCCTATTAACGTTTCCAAAGTCCTTAACTCATACTGACTATGATCACATGCTCTAAATCTCGAAAGGTCCAACCACCAGCTCAAGCATTTCTTTCAACCCAAACCATACTTAAAGAACCTAAAAATGCTAGAGAAGCCTTGGCTATTCTCAAGTGGAAGGCAGCAATGGAAATCGAATACCAAGCCTTGTTAAACAATAACACATGGGAATTGGTCCCATATGAAGACAGTATGCACATTGTGAGGTGTAAATGGGTGTTTAAAACAAAGCTTAATTCTGATGGATCCCTGCAAAAATATAAAGCTAGGCTGGTGGCAAAGGGATTTAAACAAACTCCTGGGCTAGATTATTTCAATACATTTTCCCCGGTTGTAAAAGCAGCCACAATCAGAATTATGTTCTCATTAGCGGTTCATCATAGCTGGGAAATTCAACAGCTAGATGTCAATAACGCGTTTCTGAATGGAGACCTAACGTAGCAAGTTTTTATGCTCCCTCTTGAGGGGTTTTCTGCATCAGCTCATTCACATCAGCCGCAGTAGGTTTGCAAACTCCCTAAAGCTTTATATGGTCTCAAACAAGGCCCTAGAGCTTGGTTTGATAAACTAAAACATTCTCTTCTGACCTAGGGTTTTCATAATAGCTCATCAGATGTTAGTTTATTCTTTTATAAAAAGGATTCTGTTGTGATGTACTTGTTAGTGTATGTAGATGACATATTAGTCACGAGAAATGATTCCTCACTCATATTCAAAGTGGTTTAAGACCTGAATAATCAATTTGCACTTAAAATCTTGGGAGCGGTCCATTATTTTCTTGGTTTCGAAGTTAAAAGAAATGTTTCAGGGCTGCTACTTACTTAGACAATATATGCACAAGAACTCCTTGAGAAAGCCAGAATGGCAGATTGTAATCCATGCACTACTCCCATGGCAATCGACACTAAACTTGGGAAGGAAGATGGGGAACTATTTGAAGAACCAACTCTTTATCGCAGTATCATTGGTGGCTTACAATACTTGACACTATCCAGACCTGACTTAGCTTTTGCCGTTAATGAGCTAAGTTAGTTTTTACAATCCCCAATTGTCTCGCATTGGATAGCTTGCAAGAGGGTGTTGCGATATATTAAGGGTACTAGTCATCTTGGCCTTCTTGTTAGTAAGCATAATCATTTACATCTTGAAGCTTATGCTGATGCTGATTGGACAAGTGATGTAAATGATCAAAGATCCACAAGTGGTTATGCAAATTTTCTTGGCAATAACCTCATCCAATGGAGCTCAAAGAAACAGAAGGTGGTGTCTTTATCATCTACTGAAGCTGAGTATCGCTCTCTAAGTCAAATAGCCACTGAAATGGTTTAGGTACAGCATCTGTTAAAAGAATTAGGCTTTGAAGTTAAACACATTCCTATAATTTGGTGTGATAACATGAGTGCAGGGGCATTATCCTCTAATCCAGTATTTCATGCTTGCACCAAACACATAGAGATTGATGTACACTATGTAAGAGAGTTGGTGGTAGAAAAGAATTTGGATGTTCAATATGTTGCCTCCGAATATCAAAAAGCTGATGTTTTGACCAAGCCTTTGTCAGGTTCCCGATTTACCATGCTAAGGGAAAAAATGAATGTAACCTCTGCACTTCCCTAATTTTGTTTAACTAACTTAGTCTCAGCCACTGCAGAATGTACTAAAGCTACCAAATTATTCTCTGTCATATTGAAGATACTGAATGGTTAGTTACATCAGGCTGCTGAAGCTTCCTTGATACTGCATGCTTGTAAATGTTGGAATAAGTTCAGTTCTTGAGAACAATACAGAAGGCTTAGTTCATGGGGGAATGTTAGTATATCAAAAGAATTGAAGAAAAATCAACAAATAGAGAAGGGTTAGTTTATGGGGGAATGTTAGTATAACAAGAGAGTTGAAGAACATCATAAACGGTGTAGTTTCAAGTTTACATTGTGTAATATTTAAAACGACGTAGTGTTTACTTTACGCTTTTGTATGAGTTTATAAATACTCAGCTACTATATGTTTGTTAATTCAGTTAGAGAAGAAGCCAAATACAATTTTACTTGCTCTGTTCTTTCTTTCCCGATTTCTGTCAAATCTTGTTTTTCTTTCTACAACCTTCTTGTCCTTTCACATATAGCAACAAATTTGTTTAAAGCAATTTAATTTTTACCTCTTTCCTGCTGTAGTGTCTCAATAATCAAGTATATTACTAGTATGTTTATGATCTAGCTTCCATTACAGAGATTGTTACAGTATTTATGGAACAATCTTCTAACTTTTCTCCAGGAATTTCTAACTCTTCGGTAGTATCATTGATATAAAATGCTGGTTGTTTTGGTGCAGGTAGAAGAATTGCTTCATTTGTGAGCATGGAAACAACTTCTGGCATCGTGGGTCTGTCAATTGCCTGGTTTTGTACGCACAAGAGACCCACATGAAGGCATCTTAGTACTTCATCAGGAGAGCAAGATTCATCTATTGTTGGATCTCTCAGCTCATAGCCTTTACCTTCATTCCACAGTTGCCATGCCTGAAACACAATTGATCGAGGTTAGATTTTATACCCTTATGAAAATTACACAATTTGATGGAAAACTTACATATCCAACAAGATTGAGTGGATGCTCCGTGGGATAGCAACCGGTGTTCTTCTTGCCACTTACAATCTCTAATACTAAAACTCCAAAGCTATATACATCCGTTTTTATTGAGACAATACCATTCATGGCATACTCTGGAGACATATAGCCACTGTAAAAATTAAACATCATTACTAGTTACCGAAAAAAGGAACATACTCCATGTTTTTATTGTAAATTTAACATATACTTACTATGTACCAACTATTCTATTTGTATTTGCTACAGATTCATTCATCCCAAAGATTCTAGCCATGCCAAAATCAGATATTTTTGGATTCATTTGATCATCTAGTAAAATGTTACTAGCTTTCAAGTCTCTATGAATCACTCTTAATCTTGAGTACTTGTGTAGATAGCTAAGTCCTTGAGCAATTCCTTCAATTATGTTGAAATGATTCTTCCAGTTTAATAATTTGTTTCTATGAGAATCTGTCACAGAGCAACAAATAAATAATGAGTTATTGACGCCATTCAATTTGTAAAATCTTGATATGTTGAGAAAGCTACCAAAAATGAAGAAATCCAAGCTTTTGTTCGGCATGTACTCGTAGACTAAAATCCTTTCTTCTGCTTGTAGAGAACATCCTAAAAGTCTAACAAGATTAGTATGCTGTAGTTTTGCAATAAGATTTGCTTCATTCTGGAACTCTACCATTCCTTGGTTAGAACTTCTCGACAGTCTCTTTACTGCTATTTCTTGCCCATCAGGTAATATCCCCTGAAATCACAACTCTATGACAATTGATCATTATACAACTACAAAACAATTAAAGAATTGCAAAGTCGTACCTTGTAAACTGCACCAAAACCACCCTTTCCAAGCACATTTGTAGTTGAGAAATTGTCTGTAGCAGTAGCAATGGTTTGAAAATTAAATATATTTAGTTCATGCTTCATGTACTGATCCTTATCTTGTGTTTTTCCTCTGCGGTCTGTCAGGGGAGGTGACACATTGTGTCCGATGCCAAAATCACCATGCAATGGCTTATCTTGATTCATTTTGCTTTCCACTAAATTAGATACATAAAAATAAGATTCTAATAACCGTGATTGATAATTTGCAAATCATTTTTATTTGCTACAAGCTATTACCTTTTGCCTTACACATTCTCCATATCAAAAACCATAAGTAGCAGAACAGGGGAACCAATAGAGCTGCTCCTGCTATATTAATCAATGATAACCACCATCTGTCTTCTGCATTGACAAAATTTCATCATATAATTTGATTTAAGGAAATGATGTTCTTTACTTTCTTCTTGAAAAGTAAAAACCGTGTCATACCTCGTTTTCTTCTTGTAAGGCTCCACAAAATAGCCATTGCAGTTGAGAGGACAGAAGTTGAAACAATTGCTGCTACTACTGGAAAAATAAACTTGTTCTTCTTGTGAAGATCTGGATTCACGTCACAACCTTGTATTTTGGATATTAATTTTAACCTGTAAAATTTCATATACAAACTTTACTTGAGGACTTAACATTGCTATTTTATTGTCACATAGACTGGGTGTCCAGGCCAACTTGGATTCCTGCTTATTTATATACAAACTTTACTTGAAACCATGGAGAACATGAATATATATACAGTTGAGTAATTATCAATACAAATTATATATACAAACTTCATAAATTGATTAAACAATTGCTCTTCTGTTGTCACATAATTCTTGCTCATTTATTAACTTATTTGACTTTTTTATTAAGTTTATTTATTTATTTATTTATTGCGCGACATGTTATTTTTTATTACTCTCTTATTACTTCATAGTTAATTACGATCGAAGAAGCTTATTTTGTTGAGGCAACATTTTAATTCCATTTTTTGGTAGATATTTATCTTACCACCATCACTTTACTTTAATGATGCAGTAAAACAATCAGACTAATAAAATTAATAACATATATTACTATGTATATATTAAATTTTTTTCATTCATAAAATTGTTAGATTTAATAAACCACCACAATGGTGGAAAGTTTTGAAAACTAACCATAGAAGTATTTCTCACGATTTCTCATACCGTGAGGTACTTGACAAATTTTGTAGTTTCTTTTAACGGTGATTACTGAAGGAAAGAATGTTTGCAATCTCTATCCTGAACACCAAAAACAAGTACTCATGATCTAGATGATTCATGACATTAATTGCTAGAATTAAGGGATAATATCATATAATTAAAAGTTTGATATGGTCAATATTTTTAATCAGTAATTACTTTTATTTCTCTCTTAATTATAGGATATTATTTCTCTCTCCGGGGTTGGGGCTCCTAGTGAAAAGGCTGGTAAGGCTGCAACCTCCCGGGCTACACCCCCAAGCCCTTTGGCTCGGACGTTGATTCCTTAGCCTGCAGCTGCTTTCTCTTCTTAGATTTTTGGCCCATGGTTTTTTGTTTAGGGGCGTGAGCAGCCGCGGGCCAGGAAGTTTCCCCTTGTCATTATGTGGGTGTTCGCACTCCCACCTATGCTCCCCCGACCCGGGGGGGGGGGGGGGGGGGGGGGAGGGGTCGCTAAAGATCAACTCGGCTGGCTCAGTGGGGGTGACCTAGGAAAAAACAAACCCCTTGGACCTTGTCGATGGTCTTGGGACTCTGGGTGGCATGGTCTTTGCATGAAAATATAATCAGTGAAAAAGGTCACTGCATTCAAAATAAAGTACTTTTAAAGTTTGTGGACACTTACGAACTAAGGGTTCTAGATATGCTTTAGAATTGAAGAAACCATGATTTCTCAGGTTGGCGGTAGTCATGGGCAGTCCTGCATTGCGACTTTGCTCAGGCAGATTACCGAATGCTACTATTCGATTAAAATTAGTTAGCGTCGACAACTTGGTCGTCTTGTTTCCTATAAGGAGAAAAGGAAGCTCGTTAGAAAACAAAGACTGAACGAAAAGAAAAAATTCGCAACATAAAAGAGGGGAAAACCTACTCGGTTCCCTAAATTGGCAGACGCCATCATATTGAAAAACGAAAAATTTGGATTTGTAAGCCCCGAAATTACTAGGGTAACCAAATATGCCTCCCTCGATCGTAGATCATTTCGAGAGGTAAAAAGAGTCTTTATCTTTGTTCTTCTTCAAGTAATAGGAGCATACGAGCTCTAACGTCGTCAACTGGCTGATGCCATTATCACCACACGCGATATACATAGCAATAACTATCATATACGCATTAAATGTTAGTTGTAGTGGTGCGACCTCGAAGTGATCGAGGATCGACCTAATAAAGGGGTAGAAAAGGTATCAATGCCCCATATTTGAAAATTGCCTCGAAGATCATGATGATTCCCTCTAGGGGATTCTGAACTGTATATGTTCTGTGCTGGTAGACGTCTACGCTAAGTGCGTATTGGTCCACTGCCTTTTGTATTTCATCTCAGGTGGCAAATTAATGACAGAATCTCTTGCATGGGACCCATTGGGGCATCTTGCACCTGCAAGCTTGTCCTCTCGGTTGTCCTGGTCGCTGAGGTATTCATTGCTCCTATGGTCTAAAAAGGGGTGACACACATAGATTATTTAGTCTTTGAACAGTATTTCGTGCAATGACATGGAAGAACAAAAGAAACCCTAATATACCTTCCTTAAACCCTAGAAAAACCCTAAAAACCCCTTGGGGAACACCCCAAAGGATTCGTGCCCCAAACACTTACTCCTTATGAAAGAAAAAAAAAATATTCTCCTCACAACTGCCTATAAACACGCACCACAAAGGTTTACCAGACAGTTCACACCCACCCTTGTCGTCAGGACAAACTATCTACAAAGCAGAAAAAGAAAAGTAAAGGAGAAATCCTCCTTACCTCTTAGCTGTCGGGAACATACTTCTTGCTATAAATAAATGGTACACACCAACTAGAAGATGGGGACACTGGTCTCGTCACAACCTTGTTCTTTCTCTAAAAATATGAGTTTTGTGACAATGCTTGAGGTGAACCGGGGGTTTTATAGGGGAAGAAAGCGATCCCAAGTTAAGGGACACTTGGGCAAAATATGTTTCTCGCCTTGATTGCGACCACGTGTCATCAATCTGCGAGAAGAAGTAACTGCCACGCTTTGAGAATGTCAATCAATGCTTCCCTCCATTGGAATAACCAAGCGACGGCTTAATTCTCTCCTCCAAATTAAATGTGCCTTCATATGCTTTTAATGCATTGAAAAGGAATGTCATTTTAGCATGGCTTGCATTTAATGGGCATGACTGGCACTTATTGCGCATAAGACATGTCTGTCAGAATAAAGATTATTTTATTAACGGATTAGCTGTCGAGCACAATGGATAAACATCTGAAGAGGTCGATAGGGTAGAGCACTCTTCGTCGCATATCGATTATGAGACAATGTGATTCATTGTCTTTGGTAAAAATATGCTAAGTATTATCAGGTCGTGGACCGTGGTTGAGACTTGAAGCACATCGGTATGACACTGAGTGAGTCCTGATCTAGGTTTTTGACTTTGTGGAAGAAGACCATCTCAGGTCGCTAGTAGAGACATGTGCTGCGACCTTCTTGTAGCCCGGCCAGCTCGACCAAGTGTCATTCTGGATAAGTCAAGTCGCAACATAGTTATGAAGTTCTCAAGGTTCAATTCTTAAACCTTAAAAACTGGGAAACTTTTGTTATGCTTGAAAAGTTAGGGCTGATGTGGACTCTTGTCTGCAAGAGCCAATCAGGTGTCAGAAAGGTTTATGCCATCCACGTGCTGCCACGTCATGCAGTGCCAGGGGCATGGCTCCTATCAGTGTAATAGGTGAGTACCAGGCTTACGAGCAGTTAAGGATCATCCACCTATCCAAGCCCTATGCAAGTTAAGGATATTTCTCATGCAGATAACCAATGAGATGCAAAAAAGGATTTGTGCGACACCTACCTACTTGCAGACTTGTAATCATTGCCTTGAAATCTCCCACTATAAATAGAGGACATCCCTCTCATCTACGGGATTGGCTAATCTTAGTCTAAAATAGCTTACACGTTCTCTCTCTTGTTGTATTCTCTCTAGATTATAACTCAGCTTACTATACGCGACTTGATTTTGCCCATTTATTAATAAAATAATAGTGGATGTAGGATTCATTTTTGAGCATCCGAACCACTTTAAATATCGCTTCTCATTCATTGTTTCATTTCATATTTTCCTTATCACGTGTGATTTATAAGTCCACTTAGCATTTTACATGTGTGGGTCGTTGGTGTCAAAATCGAGCATCAACACCAATAATGACTACAGACAATGTTGTAGCAAGAAATGCTATAGTGGAGTAACAACCGAGTTCTTGTATTGGCATGAAGGCGACAACGTATTATTTTGATTTAAGTCGTCCATCGTTTCATCAATTGATTGTTAATAAATTAGTAGTGAGACTTGAAATAACAAACATAGATATACATAACATAAGTAATTATATTCATACAAATTATATATACAAATTTTATAAATTAATTTAATATTATTATTTTATTATCACATAATTGATACCCATTTATTAACTAGATTTTACTTTTTTTTTATAAATTTATTTATTTATTTAGTGACATATCAGTTTGAATTACTCCTTTATTGTCATCTAATTCATCTTCATTGTTAATTAGGGTGGATTATGAGGAAGAAGCTTCATTTTGTTTAGACAACATTTTCATCCCCTTTTTTGGTATATATTTATCCTACCAGTTCACTTTGCTATGCTAGGAAGACCATCAAATAAAATTAATGGCATATGACCAGTTTCCACGCATCTCAACTAATCCCCAGGGGACCTAGAACTACCAGTCGAGTAAGAGTCCCAGTGGCCACCCCCCATTAATCCTGGAGGGAAATCCAACTCAAGAACTCATAGAACCTCTTTTTGCTCTTTTACCATCATGCCACCTAGTGAAGGTTATATACTAAATTTTTTTTTTTCATTAACTCATTATCATGATTTAGTAATAACCACCACTATTTAATTACCAATAATGTTCAACATAATACTACTAATGAAGATTACTTTAAGTTAAATATAAACATTGTAATTAGTTTATTTTCATATGTCTTCCTTGATGACCTGATATGTGTATAGTTTGGCTGTATATAAACTTTGTATAACTGTTGTATAGAGCAAGGGATAATTAATATACAAAAGACCAATTTCTCAGAAATATTTGCAACCTCTGTTTTAAAACCCGGACCAGACCGTCCGGTCCAACCGGGAGCTAGCCTTTACTCTGGTCTGGGTTAACATAAAATCAGGAATGTTATTAAACCGGCTTTTGATCGGTAATGGACCAGCAGAACAGTACAAAACCGCTAGTTCGACCAATCCGGGACTTAAAACGGTTTGCTATTTTTGGGTATCTGATCTTAAAAAATTCATATTCCTAATTCCTAAACCAATTTGCAGCACCAATTCATTCTCCATTTCATTTGAATAAAAAAACCAAATTGCATCTTCCATTTTCATCTTCTATTCTTCTTCACTTACTTTAAAATCTATAGTGTAAAGAAGAAGAAGTAAGGGAAAGGGAAGGGAGAAAAAAGAGAAGAGGAGACAAGAGAAAGAGTAAGGAAGAAGATTAGAAAGAAAAGAGGAGATGAAGAGAAAGAGAAGGAAGAAGAAATTGAAGAGGAGAGAAAAATTACAGTAGAGAGACGCGAATGTGTTAGAAGAAAGAAGAAAGAAGAAAGTGACGGGCAGTGATGGGGAGAGAGAGAGAGAAAAAAAAAAGGAAAAAGAAGAAAGTGATGAGGAGTTATGGCCCGACGGGAAGAGAGAAAAGAGAGAAAGATGGAAGTAATGGGAAGAAAGAAAAAAATAATTAATAATCAAATCTGCAGGGTGCATTTGCTTTATTTTAAACTTTTAGGGGCTTATAGGTAAGTTTTAGGGATGTATTTGCTGGTTTTCAAACTTATAACAATTAATGGAATTGTTTAAAGATGTGACTGCTATATACCGGTCAGACCGACCGGTTCAATCGATTGGACCGGTCAACCTGCAAACCGGCCCCTTGATCAGGTCAACGAGCGGTCCAGTTTTCAAAACAATGATTTGAACACCAAAAATAAGTACTCATCATCTAGATAATTCATTACATAAATGTTTGGTGATGGTTTATGAGAAAAGGCAAACCTTAATAGTAGTGATCCATTGTTCAACCTTTTCTCGAGTTCCGCTGGAAGTGATCCAGTGAACTTGTTTCCCTTTAAGTATCTGGAAAGTTAGATAAAAACATGAGTCGTCCCTTCAATATTATTTGTACTATTAAAAATTTTCCAAATTTAAGTCCATAAACTTACAAGACTCTCAAGGATGGCATTCGAGAAAAAAAATCAGGCACTGATCCACAGAAGCTATTATTAGATAGATCCCTGAATTCAACGATTTTCGTTCATTGTCAGTGGTGAGAGAAGAAACTAAGTCCAAGTAGTTCAATATAAGATAGAATTACTATTTAGATTTTAAATGTAAGATAGAATGCTTACAGATATTGAAGTGATGTCAAATCCGCAAAGGCTGGAGTTATCTTTCCAGTCAATCCACTCATGGACAAGTTCCTAATCACGTGTTCAAAGCATCATACAATCTGCATCTCATATTGTAAAGTTTTTTATGTTAAAAAAAAAATAAATTGAAAATATAAACTTACAAGGAAATTATTCTAAGAGGACTATTGTTCTCATAGCTGCTGCAATTAACGCCTTCCCAGGAGTAATTTTTAGGGGCGCAGGGATCACCTTGCCAGTCTTTTTTCTCACTTGATAGGTTTTTTTTATACTCATCATAGCATTCACTGAAATGTTCAAATACATACAAACAAGTGATAAATTTGGAATAAGTTTCCAACTTCAGAAATTTATATGCGTAGAAAAAAGTACAAGTTAGGAAAAACATACCATCATTTTGGAGTGTTAACGGTTGCGAGAAATCTCTTACGCTGTAGAGCTCGACGGCATTGAGAATGGGTGGAAGGGTTGAATTCTCAGTTTTTGTGATTTCAATCTTGATAGTTTCTGCTTTCAGTGGTCCCGAAGGGACTGTAAATGTGGACAAGAATTCTGGCCTATAAGGCCCATAAATTTGTTCCCCGTTTTCGCTCAAGTTGAATTCTCTGATTTGGTTGCTCTGTAATGTCTCTATTTCAGCAAAATACTTGTAAGAATAGTATCGGTAATTTGGATCTGCAGACAAATAGCAAGAAAAGACCAAGCTTCCATCATCGTTATTTGGTTTGACAGCTGTAATCATGACAGAAATTGGTGGTTGGTAAGCAAGACTGCCGTAGCCATAAATATCGGAAATCGAGAGTCTCGATGTTTCCCAGTCAGTAGTGATTTTGGGCGTCCAAATGCGGTCATATATATCGTCCATGTATCTATTCAGGGCATCACTTCAAATCATTACGTATGAAAAAAAAAAAAAAAAAAAAACTTATAATTCACTGGACAAATATGATATCACACAAAAAGTTTCACCTGACTTCAGAATTAGAACCCAAGTTAAATCGTGCTAGGAGTGAAAGGGATTCAGTGGACGGATTCTCTGTCTTGTAAAGCGAAGTATTCAAAGTCCTAAGCTCTAGAGATGATATAAATGGTACTCCGAGGCCTGTATTAATAAGACACACAAATATATAATCTGTTGAAGGAACATGTATGATCTCCTTGGTTAAAGGGCTGTAAACATGGTCCAGATTTATTGTCTCCCAGAGACTACCCCCCAGATATAGATCAAACTGTGGCGTTTTATTTTTTCCGTCGTAGTTTCCGTACATGAAACCGGCTCTGATCAAATACTTACCGTTTTTTCCTTGAGTAGGATTCAGGGTGTAACAGTTTTTGTTACCTTCTGGAAAACTTCTTACAGTATTAAATGGATCTTCAGAGTCTTTGCTGAAGAATTTGGGATCTACACTCCCTGATAACCCTGTATCAATGAAGTTTTCATCTGAAGTGTACTTTATGCCATTAGCAAGATGAATAGAGTCAGGACCTTCTGCTTTCCCGCAATCTATGCTAATGAAGTCTTAAAGAAAGATAAAGAATAAAGCAAAAATTAGGCTCAATTAGAACTTAAATTGCCAACTATATTGAACTTCATACAATTTACATATAAACTTTACATATGGTAGTTTCAGGTTACAAAAATCCGGTTTGGGTAATTAGTGATAGCAAACTCCGAACTAAATATACAGACAAGTTCAAACCTGATTGATCCTGAGCATGAATCAATGCTGCAAGAGTGAATATCGCAAGCAGAGCATAGTGGACGCTCTTTAACTTATCCATCATCCTCTTTTTGAGTTTCTTTCTTCTTAACTAGGTGAATAAGTGGATGATTATATATATATAAAGCAAAGTAGGTATATCAGTAACAAAATCTCAAGGGATTCATTTAACTGGATAATTTTATACTTAAAAAATTCCCATTGTTTTTGAAGAAACATGATTTAATGACAACAGTAAATATGTCATTTTAGCCTGAAAGAGATGGAGCAATTGTTTTATTTAGACAATTAATTGGTAGCTAAATTACAAAATGGATGCCCTCTTCCCTGTAAGTTGGGGTATAGAAAAGTTGATAGCTAAATTACAAGTTTCCAGGCTGACTTGAAACCCGACTTACACGCGAGAAGGCATCCATTTTTGTTTTATTTATGCAGAAAGTCTATTTTGTTTCATATGTGCAGAAACTTAACCACATGTTATATTGAAATTATCATGTTATATACGTAGCCAGATTCGCTTACTATACTATATAATTGTGAAATCATAAATATTTTAACCTTTTCCTTTGAGACAAGATGACAAGCCATTTAGCTATTAAGATTAAATATACTCAGAAAGTCTTGTGTTCAAGTCGTAAGAGAGATACATATCAAATTATGCAATTATCTTTATCCATTGGGCTTATAGAGTGTTTCATGGTCCTAGGGATTAGATAGAGATACATTTAGAACATTTATGCAATTATCTTTGTCCATTGGGTTTGTAGGATTTTTCATGGCCTGGGATTAGGCAGACTCCAATGTGGGCTAGATACCTAAAATAAAAAATAAAACATCTATATTTTTTTTAATATTTTTCAAAAGAGTAAACAAATTTTTCCCACCCAATGTTTACCTTAATACATTTTCCCACCCAAAATATTTCAAAATACCACTTTCTCATCCAAAGTTAATGTTCTGTTACTATTTAAAGCAAATTCCTGCCGATTCTGACATGAAAATTCTTTCCGTCACCACTATTTCAACCTCTAGTCTTCTCTCTATAAAACCTCTCTCATTCTGACACCTGATTTTTCGCTAATTGTGGATCACCATAAAGTTAGAGTTTCTTGTTTTTAGCTGATTTCTATCTAATTTCAGTAGTGAATATTCAATCGGTCACCACCATTAGATCTATTGGCCTCCACTCTACAAAACCCCTTTTATCCTGACTCCTAATAACTTGCTGAACGTCAGCTAAGAAAGTAAAGTGCATTTTGGATATTAACAAAATATAAACTTTGGGTGCAAAAGTGTCATTAAAGCAAACCTTGGGTGGGAAAAGGTGTTTTCCCTTTTCAAAAACGCCAAACCTTGACTAACTTTACTAACGTCCCTTTCTTTGAAATGGCCCTTTTTGTCTAGTATTTTAAACGACAAACTCAACACCACAGTGGTCCATATAGTATTTATTAATGTTTAATTTTTTAATGAGGCATAATGTCATATGGATAAAAAATGTATAAATAATATATAAATTTGGTTTAGAAGAGATCTAGTTTTCATTATATATATAAAAAACCATTTATTTTTTATAATATCATAAGATTAAGGGTGTAATAAGAGAGAATTAAATTATCTTCCCCACAATACTTGATAATTGTATAACCATTATTTTTGTTAAAAATTGGCACCATAATGTTATAAGAGAGAAATTAACTTCCACACAAATCTGGATAAGCATTGACCTGAGTCAGCTATCCTACTATTGACTAAGTCAACTACTCAAAGCCTTATACTCATGATATTGACTTTGGACCACCTTATTGGGTTTTTCTTCTACATAAAATAGCTTCCAAGTATCTTCCTGTATTACTAAAAAAATCATGAATTCGATCCATTTGTATTGCTAATAAGGGTAACTATTGAGGAAATTTATACTTTAGGGCCCTAGGAGAATGGGTGAGGTGAATATAAGTTGGCCCGGACACTTCTGATTAAAAAAAAAGTGTGTAGGCCGACACGACTTTTCTTTTAGTTTTACTCGATTACCTTTTGAGAATGGATAATGTAAGTTTCTATTTTTTAAAATTTCATATATTATATCTAGGTTGGGTGACAAATTTAAATGAAAATTGAGCTGGGTAATTTTTTGACATCCCTAAATGAAGGGATGAAAGTGTAGAGTTTAATTAACAAAGTAGTCGAAAAAGAGCCTGAAGTTTAAGGGATTAAATTGATATATTTCTGCACAAAATTTAATTAGGACGTTGGTCTACCACTGACCTGGCTATATTGAATGTGATGTATACATAGTAATATACATATGTGGATTACACTAAATCAATACGTTCAGAGTTGACTGAGTCTTGGTAACCTACCATTGACTGGTGATACCCTCTACATGATAGAGTACCATTGACCTGACTACACTAAATCTTTAATTACCCTACACACGTTGTCATATCAATTCATAAATCAAATGAAAGTTCTGTTTATAAATATCTACGGGCTAGGACTAAAGCCTTATTTTTTTTTAACGTAATTTTGATTCAATAGATTAATGCATTTAAATGGTTGAGATTGCATTTATATTTGACATTTCCAAAGTGCATTAATTATGTAAGTTGCATTAATGTGATGGATGATGAAATTAAATCTTTAATGGCCCTATACACGTTATCATATCAATTCATAAATAAAATGAAAGTTCTGTTTATAAATATCTACGTGTTAGGATCAAAGCCTTATTTTTTTTAGATGTAATTTTGATCCAATAGATTAATGCATTTAAATAGTTAAGAGATGCATTTATATATGATATTTCCAAAGTGCATTAATCATGTAAGTTGTATTGAATCTCAACCATCTAAAGTGCTATGATCCCAATGGCATCAAAAATAACTTCATCATTTAATAACATAGCATTAATTAAGGGTGAACATGGTAATGATTCTACCTGAAATTGGTCGGTAGAACCAGAATCAACCCGAACCTGGCTTCATCGAGTAGGTTCCAGTACCAATTTTTGGAAGCATCACTATGCGGGTCCAGTTTTGGTATCGCTTTCGGTTCTTGCATCGCCTAAAACCTAGAATGGGAACCGAGGTTGGGTACTCGGGATGGAACCTGTCTTGGAATTAGGACTGGAACAAAGCATCATTAAAGTATGGGGTGTCTATTGTAAATGCATATAAAAAATTAAAATGCAATTAAGACACATGGGTAACGTGGCGAAGAAGTGGACGGGATGGACTATATTAATTACTATTAAATAATAAATATTATATATATTTTTAAAATATATATTATAATGTTAAACATAAAGTTTTGATTAATTAGGTGTATAATTGGAATAAGGATCTAAGTAAAAGTATTTTAATTCTATTAAAATAATTATTTTTGAATAAAATAGTTGATTCGATTGAATAATATTTACTTCAATTATCAAATTCTAAGTGTATATATATAATAAATTAGTAATTATATATGATAAATCGATGAACATAATATATTACTTAATTAAATGATTAAAAATTTAATTAATTATCATTATAGTATGACGACTCATGGTATATTAAGAAATGTGAGTGTTTGTAATCAAACTTAAATTAATGATATCAAACACTTAAAGTCATACTAATTATTTAATTAAAGATTCACAAATCATATTAATATTAATATTCAGTTTGATTCTTTTGTCACAATTAATGTTAATTTAACTTATGGGCAAATTCAAAAACTTCATTTTCACTCTAGTAATTATAATATTATATAAATTATTTTTATTAATTCATAAATATGATAGTATGAATCAAAGTTTAATGAGTGTCAAAGATAAGTGATTAGTCATTAATTTATTAAAATACAAAATCAGAACCACCTTCTAATTGTGTATGAAACTTTTTCTAAAATAATTTATTTATTAGTAATTATATTTTATTTCTCTTTTTAAAAATAGATATTATAATGTTAAAGTTTTGAGGGCATGTGATTAAGACTTAAGAGGATAAAAATATTTTAGATTCGTTAATTATTTGATTAATTAAGTGTATAATTAGAATCAAGATCCAATTAAAAGTGTTTTAATGTTATTAACAATATTATTTTTAAATAAAATAATATATTTGATTGAATAATATTTACTTCAATTATCAAGTTCTAAGCATATCTGTAGTAAATTAGTAATTATATATAATAAATTGATGAACATTAGTATACTACTTAATTAAATGATTAAATATTTAATTGACTTATCGGAAAATTCAAAAACTTCATTTTCACTCTAGTAATTATATTACTATATAATAATTGTATTTTTGGATAATAAAGTTCACTAAAATTTAATTCTCAAAATTAATTCCATAAATATACTTTGATGTAAAATTTAATATATATATATATATATATATAAAATATTTCCATGGATCTGTGACTGTGATTGGACAAATGAGTAATAAAAATTGAAAACTACTAATTGCTCGTTTTCTTAATTTTTGGGGGTGTATTGGTAAATCATTAAGGTTTACTTGTCACTTTTTAAATTAATAGGGGGTAATTGAAATTTTATAGGGTACCCAGGTAAGTAACCGAAGATTTTTTAGATAACGTTAGACAATGAAATCAACTGAAGCCGTGTTGCAGTTGTAAACGCTATTGTGAAAGGAATAGTCGTACTACTCTATTCCAATTGGGTCCACTATAAATCCTTCTAATGCTCAAAACAGAACAAAATATTCATGAACTGAGTAATTAATGCGTTGATTGTTCAACAATGAGATGGTCTTCTTGTTGAATAGTCTGATTGTTCGATCATTACAAGCAAAGAAAAAAGATTATAAATTTAACATTGCGTGGATATTGAACCTTTGATCCACAGGATTTCTGAAAAATATGCTACCTTGCTTGAGGAGAAAATTCTGAATCCAGATTAACGCTGTCTAATGTGTAACGGCCTTCATCATTTCGAGCAATTTCTACAGCAAAACACTCTTTCAATCCCATCACTACCTCAGTCATGGTAGGCCTTTCAGACGAAGTGTTAGATGCACAAGCTAGTGCGAGTTCCACAGCTTTCCATGCAGAACTAGTATTAAAATCATCCCCTAAATGTGGATCAACAATATTTC